TCTCTCTCTCTCTCTCTCTCTCTCTCTCTCTCTCATTCATTCATTCATTCATTCATTGAATCCTTTGTTATATATTTTTATAAATAAATCAATACTTAATTGCTTTTTAATATTTTTCTAAATATAAAACAAAAATCATTTTTATTTTTATTTTAAAATCCTAATTTATTTCTAATGCGGTCCTAATTTGCTCTGAATAAATAGGAAATAATTTGCATTACTAACCAAATTTTTTAAAATCTATTTTGGGAAAATATAAATGCAAAAAAGTATTTTATTTATCCTGTTTTAATGGGGATATACTTGTAATTATTGGTTATTATTTTCTATGAATGCAATGATAATTATTTTCTAATTAATTCTTTTATTAAAACTATAATTAATTTTTTACGCCTATTATCACTCATTTATAAAGTAATATTTGAATATTTTTAAAACGCTAGTTTCCCTGTTTGATTAATACAGTATAATGTTTTCCCAATAAATATATTAAATCATAAAACTTTTGCATTTTTATTACCGTATTACTAGTAAAGGGAAATTATTTTATTTGAGATTGATTATAGAAAAGTTTCTATTTAAATACAGTATAAAACTTTATATTATTTTACTTTATTTTATAATGTGTAGAAAATTACAGGTATTTTTAAATGTGAATCATACAAATAATATATTAAGATATCGTGATATTGTAATATCATTTGTTTTAAACTAGAATTTTATGAAATATATATGTATTTCATAACGTATTTAAAATCATAATTTTGTTTTATTGATTATTTTTTATATTACTAATTTCTGTGATTGCAATTTATTAACAAAATACAATTATATTAAGATTATAATTAGTGATTATTATGACAAGAATTGAATTATAATCAGTAAAATTGAAATTGTTATGTAATTCATACCCTTTAACGTCCACTTTATTAGGCTTTTCCATGATTTAATAAAATTAAAATTAAAACCATTTGTAATGAGGGCTACACTACTCTGTAATGAACTGAAACTACTTGTGTGTTGTGTAACCGACTTTTAATTAACAAAAAATATTTAAATTAAAAAACTAAAATTTTGTCAAAATGCATTAGATATACATATTCATAAAAAGTTGTTCAACTAGAAAATTACTGATAAATATTTTAGCATTTTATTGACTTTGGTTATGAGTGCATTTAATTAAACTCAAATATGAATTATTTGAATAATAATTACCTGCTAACGAAAGTACTACATTCAAATTGTTTAAATTTTTGAAATGCAAATATTGTTTTAAGTTATTTATTTATATATAATATGAAATTTTATGAATAAGTAAAATGCCTAGACATATAAATGCAAAATACTTTATTAATTGTTTTTTAGTTACTTAGAACTCTACAATTTTAATTTCACAAATTTTATATAATTAAATATGATAGAAGTATTAACAATAATTCAAATTATAACTTTGACAAGTATATTTTAATTATTAATTTATTAATAATAAATTTTTTCTACTCCTCAATAATATTATGTTTTGTACACGTTTTACTCAAATCGTTAACACACTTTCCCTTTGGTGGCAATCCGGCACATTTATCGTGGATAATCCTATTCGCACAACCTCCTATTCCGGCAGCAGCTTGTTGATGTATCTATTTATTAAGTGGTGTGGGGTGTGGGATGTATATTAGTATTTATTCATAAAATCACAGACATTGGTAACGAATGTCTTACTTGTATGCCGTCGAGTACAGAATGGTTGCCCTCATTATCCTCGATGGTATAGTTCTCTCCCTTGACATCAATCCAGGAATCGGCGTAATGCTCGCCGGACATACCGGTGCCGTCAAATACATTATTCTTAATTATACCACAACAACTGCCCTCTTTGATGTCGATGCTCTCGCCGCCAACATTTGGACCTATTTTGTTGTTTAGCACTTGATTTCTATCGCTTTTGTCCTGTTTGTTGTCTACCCAGTCGGTCACCTATTTGGTGGACAGGGATGTAGTTATAAAAGCTTCTTTAAATATTAGTACTAACCGCTGCCCCGATGTAAACGCCCTCACCACGCCCTGGACGTTCCAAACCAGTCGTATGGATATATGATTTCCTGAGTATATTATCGGAGCTATTCTTCCGGAAATGGATGCCCTCGTCCTTAATGTGATGAACCTCCAGGTCCTCTAATATGTTATGGTTAGCCCCGTCTAACATAATACCTTTTAAACCACCACTAACGGTAAACCCTTTGAGTATCCAATAGTCTGCCTGAAGCCAAAAGCCATAGTGACCTTCAGAGAGGACAGCCTTCCGACTGCCCGTCAAAGTGATGGGTTTGTCGGCCGTACCACTGATTTTGGTGGTGTAGTTGTTGTGGTATATGCCGTCCGCTAGCTCTATGGTATCGCCGGCCGACACGTCCGACAGCGCCGACACTAACTCTTTATCCGTTGAGACATTGATTGTCTTACAACTGATGGACACAATGAGGCATAAAATGATTATTAGTTTTAGCATCTTGGTCAGTTTGTTGAGTACTTTGTTTTAATGAATGAGAAATGAAATATTTATACCTTTTATTTAACGTTTTATCTCATGGTAATCTATTGTGTGCCAATTTAATAAGGCGTGATCCACAAAGAACATACGCGTGCCTAGGGGGGGGAGGGGGGTTATTGTTTTACTAAAATTTTGCGTACGTACTTTGTGGATGACGCCTAATCAAATCACTGGATTGTGCTTATGAAAACATCTGTTGAATTGTATTATCTTTCTATGTATTGATTAGTTTCACTAATTATCAGTCTATTTGAAAATCACTGAACAAATAAATGATTATGTATTGTCACTACTTGATTATTGCACTATTTTCGCACTATTTTTGCACTATTTGTGAACTGTGTTCATAATGAATTGTTTTGTAGTGAACTAAACTATAAAATAAGGGATTTTCTATTTGTTTTATCTGGTTCATCTGATTAACAGTGAACCAAATTGTATAATAAGTAAAGCTTTACTTTCTAGTAAGTTCAAATGAACCTGATAGTGTCTATCATAGTTAAGAAAAAGTGGTCCAATAGTACTTAAATAGTTATTTATTTTAAATCAACTATGTATATTGATATATTGATATTGATATTGATATTGTCTATGTATATTTTTACTTTTTACCCACATTTACGCAGTAAAAAGGTGGGTTATCAATTCCCCCTGTACCTTTGTTTTATTTTCCAATTAAATGAACACTGCATTGTGTTATCTATCACGCATTCATGTACGATTTAGTTGAATCCATATAATAAATTTAATAAATTATTATTTGATTTAGATAAGCTAATTAAAGAAATTTGATAAAGAAGATTTAATTAAATTGTTTATAAAAGTTGGCCTATTAATTAGAAATCTGATTATAAGATTTGTTACAATGTTAATTATGTTAGTAAATTTACCAAAAATAATTAGAAACTTGATTAATATACTGATAGACAAGAATAATTTGAAAATTTTAAGTATTTTCAAAAATTCTATCATTGTTAGATTTAAAATAATCCTTATAGAAATTTTATAATATTAGTCAACAATGATTTGAAATTTTGAAATGTAGAAATAAATGAAAACCACTTGAAAAACATCTATTAAAAGTTTTATATGAGACCGTTAAAGAAATGTTAATAATTTATTTAATAAATTATTATTTGACATGGATAGATTTGCTCTAAAGGAATTAAAAGATAAAACTATTATTAGGGCCCAATTTTAACATTCTATTCAAGTAATTTTAATAAATTATCAATTGATATTGAGAAATTTAATTCGAAGAATAGACATGGATAGACGATAAATACCTATAATTGTTTACATGGTAATTGATTCTATGTTAGATTAACTGTAAATGTGGGTTTCTATAGCATTGCCTGCAAACCTTGTTTTAAATTGTATTTGATAAAAACACTTTAATAATACTAAACTAAAACGCATAATCGCTTATTATTGTCTTAGTAATCAAAAATAATGTTTAATATTTCAATTATTACCAAAAGACTGTCACAAAATGTTGACACAAACATGGCTTTCTACTATGTTATAAAGAATGGGTGCCTATTCTACATTTGTTAATTTTTTATACAAGCAAACCCATTTAATAAATTTAATTACAATCACTTATAGTTTTCAATAAATTATAAATTCATAATCTACTAGAATCTGCTCTAAAAATGTAAAATTTCACTGCTTTTTCATCAAAAAGCCGAAATTTTTTAAATATATAGTTAGGAACCAATCAAATAGTTATTTATAGTTAAAATAAAACTTAAAATCACCTTTATTACATGATTCGTATGCATAATTAATCTCACGAAGTTCTTGGCTATCGCAACAAAAAGTTAAATAACTCAAAGTAAAGCCTTAATAAAAGGGTTTTTAAATGAATTGAACGGAAGTTTATTTGTTAACTAATTGATTATTATTTGCATAAATACTGCACATAATTCTATGTGCAGGCAAAAAGTGAATTGAGTTTTTGTTTTCAGATAAAGTTAAAAAGATTTATTATTTATAAAATGTATTGTTTTGTATTTGAAATAATCAAAAACTTTAATTGTAATTTAAAATAATTGCAATTTAAATGTAGCTGACAATATCAATTATTAGACTTTAAACAGAATTTATCAATTACGAATTTGACCTTGTTTAATATAACAAGTATTATATTTTCCAAGCGCTTATTTAATTATCAATATTTGTATATTTCAAAAATATAAATGTTAACATGTTTTATAAAATGATATTAATCACATTAATTAAATAACTAAAATATTGGTTTATTAAAAATAATGAATGAGTTTACTAGTAATCATATTAAATTTTTAGGTAAACTTTAATTTAATAATGAATTTACAAATGAGTTACAAACACGTGTGGATAACAGATAAGACATAACAAAACAAACGAGCAACATAATATTTAATTTATAAATCACTCTATAATATATATAATATTTAATATTTAATAATATATATCACTTTATAATAGTATTTGACAGAAATGCTAAATAAGACTCACTTTTCAGCCATAAACAGGATAACATACAGTTTACACAATGTTATCAGTATGTGTATCGATAACTGTACTGCCATTGAGGGGAACGGCACTACCATTTCCCACATCTTCATCTACCTTGTCTAATATTCTGGTCCTAATCCGTTTGAGTCTATGGTATGTCATCTTAATGTGGACATCAATACCAATAAACCGCGAGAACACTCCGACCCAGAAGTAAAACAAACTCCACACTCTATGTACAAAAAAGCCACCCGTCCTGTCCTCCTGACCCACTGTCTTCAGAGCTTGCTTCACAAATATGTGAGGGGTAGGCGCGTAAAACCGGGGCTCCATATGATAGGTCATTCGCGTGGACACGTAGAACGGCATCACCGACTGTATGATAATACCGGAGCTCCGGTACTCCTCCTGCAACGCGCGCGACATGTAGTCCACGTATACTTTGGTGGCTGAGTATAGGGACAGGAGTGGGACGGGGTATAGGGCCGAGAATGAGGAGAGATTTATGATGACTCCCCGACCCCTGCGCTCCATACGCGGCAATACTAGTGCCGTAAGTCTGGTACACGAGACTATATTGACATTAATGAGGCTCATGATAACGTGATTCAAATTAGGTAACTTGGTCATATATTCAGGTCTCTCGTGTGGGTAATTAGTGCCCACATTGTTGACCAGCACATGGATCTCATCCAAGCCGTCCAACTCGGACTCTATCGTGTCGTATGTTTCTTGTGATATGTCGTTGAAGTCGATGGCGAGTGTACGCACTTTGCGAGCGGCCCTCACCTGGTCCTGGATATCGCGTTTGACTTTTTGCAGTTTTTCGTGATTACGACTTATAAGCAATAGATTGTATCTATAGATAAGATTACATAACATAAGGATTATAGTAACAAAAGTTGTTAAAACTCTTAAAGTTTAAATCCTTACCCTTTAGCGGCCAGTTGGTTAGCGTAGGCCAGGCCTATACCCTCAGTGCACCCGGTGATTACTGCCCAGGTATGAGGTCCACCACACCATTTAAATTGACTGGCTTTGTATTTGAGCCACAAGTATATTATAAGCCGGGCTATTATGAATAGTATTGTGTTTATAATTGATACTAATCCTATTAATTCGCATAATAATCGTAAGTATTTCTCACTAATTAGAGTTTCCATGAATAGATACAATTGTGTTTATTAAATTATAAAATAGCCTGTTAATAATAATAATAAAATTTGTGAAATTAATAAAATTTAAATGTAAATTTAAATGATAAAAACACATTTTAGTGGCATTGTTAATTATTTTATGCCGTTTATTTTATTTTATTATATTAGTCATTGTCAAGGAAAGTGCTTTAATTATTCATAAAATTATTTAGAAATCTTCCTTGTTTATTTATAATGATTATTATACTGCTATAATGCTATTGTTTTTGCATTTATTAGTTATAAAATTTGCGTAGGTAATCCGCGCAAATATTAGTTACATAGATACAATTAAATTCTGGAAATATTAAACTTAATGTACGGGAATATACCATTTTTGTTGTACAATTAATAAACAATGTAAAGATTGACAAATTTTAAATATAATTTACCCAGTACTGAATTCAAAATATAGTTTTAAAAATTATTGATTTATAAATAAAATTATATAAAAATAAAAGTAAGTTTAGTAATTGGATATTCCACCTGGGAATTATATAAGAAATTAAACAGATTAACCCTAATAGCCTTAATGAACTGGATAAAATTTAGTTTTTATTATATAATTAGAATTAGAATCTTTAAATAGTCAATAGATGTCTAAAATTCAATCATTTGTCAATTTGTATGATTTTAACTGTACACCAATGGATCAATCAACAAGCAGTAGTGAAACTTTACCGGCTGATTATCTGTATGATAAAAATAATAATGTTTATGATAAGTGAGTATTCATTTATTAAGTATGTTTTAATTATTAAAAATTATTTATTACAGATCATTTAGCGGGACTATTCGTATGGCAAATGAATTGTTCACAGTATTGCTTAAAACAAATAAATTGGACCGGAGTGTGGACCCTGATAATAAAAATCTATACGTTACGGAAATAAAAGCATGTAAATCATATATGGAGTCATTAGGCACTATGGATAAGGTATGTTGTTTAAATTGTTTTTCTTAATTATCAAGGCAAGTTTTTAATTATAAATTCTGTACTTTACTGAACTGTAGTATGATATCGAAAAAGCCCACAAACGAGTGGATACTTTGGCAAAACTTTGCCAAAAGTACCGCAAAACAAGTCTAATGCTAACTGTTATGAGTTATGTTAAGACACCCAACTTTCAGCGATATAGTGATGGTAAGTTTATTAAATATTTTTCAAAATTAAATAATAACCAATTAAATATATGAATTTTGATTTATTTGAAAGTGGAGGCACACGCAGAATTGTGTTATGGCTATAGTTTATTATTAAGTGCATTGGTATGCGCTTTGGAAACACAAAATATCTTGGGTTTAATTAAAATTGCATTTCGTTTACAAAAGTTTAATAAAACTTTGCGGTAAGTATACAGCATTTCACACAGAATTTACACGGATTTCACATTTATTAGTTTAGGTTTTATTAATTATGTTTTTTGTTTCGTTTTATTTCTAGAAATTGCAAATCATTGAGAAAAACAAAGACTAATTGGGAAACCAAGTTATCGCAAGAAATGTTTGATTCCGGCTATCTATTGGCCAGTGGTCTGTCACACATTATGATCAGTCATATGCCGCCTAAACTGCTAAAAATTGTGAATCTGATTGGCATTAAAGGGGTTCATCACATAGGAATGGCAAATGTGACCAGGGCTGCATTTTTGTATATAGACCACATAAACTGTCATTTTGCTAAAATGTTCATGCTAATATTAGCTACTTATATGGACACACATTTAGGTCTTGAGATAAGGAATCGAGAGAATTGTGAACAGATTTTACATAATGAGATGAAATTATATCCAAATGTTAGAAATATAATAATATTTTATCTAGATATTCAGAGATTAATTTTATGATCTGTTTAATATAGTTTGTAATGTATTTGTCATTCAAAGCGAAATTAATGCAAATTTCTGGTCGTACTGAGGAGTCGATTGTTTTGTACACTAAAGCCATCAATGAATACAACTTTTCGAAAGCAAACAAATGGTTTCATTTTGAGCTAATGTTTAGTCACGCCTTACGGTGCGAATGGAGTGAATGTATTAAATACGCGGAATTCATTCGCTTAGGGAGTCGTCATTCACCCGCTTATACCACATATTGTGAGGCTATCTTCAGATATGTTAAGAGTGTTGAAGACAATGATAAGTCGGAAATGGAAAGGGCTGTCCAACTGCTACGGTATGTCTACCCATTGTGTAATATATATGATAATACTGAACATTGTATCGATTGTGACAGAGATGTGCCGTCAGTTCGCGTCCGATATTTCGGGAAATCAGTGACACTGGAGAAGAGTGCTGTTCAGAGGGCTGAGAAGTGGGCCAATACTCACCAGTGCTCCCTATTGCCCGATATGGTTTGGACTGAGTTTTGCACTATAATTAAAACACGATAATTAATTAATTATAATTTCAGGATCTGTTATACCAGTGGAATATGTTATCCTTCATTAGAGGCAATGCTATCCTATTGAATAGATTTATGGACAGAATTATGGTTCAAATCGACAGATATACTTCTGATTTAAGTAATGAGTATTTTGTTTATATAAAATTTAAATTCCTAATCAGGTTTTATTTAAAATTAATATCTGTATGATGGAGTATACAGTACAAAAATTGTAAAAACACCTATAGTAAAAATAATATCTTCAAAATAAGTTTTAATTTTGCATTTAGTGAGAAACAGTTTATAATATAAATTTGAATAGATGATAAAGTGTATATAACAAATTATAAAGCATTTAGTTTGTTATTTATAAAATGTTTTTAATTTTACAACTTATTAGAAACGAGTGATTATTTGGATAACTATTTGACGGCTCTATTCTATAAAGGAATCATTCATAGGCTGTCCTTACAGTATACCGACGCCAGGAAATGCTTTAAAACAGTGTTTGAAGAGTAACTATATTTTGAGCCCCAATTGAATTGATTACATCTAATGATCATTTGTAACAATTGAAAGGGAGGCGAGAATTAGCCACGAGTTTGCGATACCACCGCAAGCGGTTCTGGAGTTAGGATTAGTGGAACTGGAGCTCAATAATGGTGACGAGGCTAAGATGTGGCTGAAGAAGTGTACTCAGGATTACAGCAATTATACGAATGAAAACTTTGTTCATTTGAGAGCTTATGCCGCTCTCAGAGAACTCGGGGTTTCCACTGATAAACAGACTGTTAATCAGAATATGTGTTTGTATTCATAATATCGCTTAAAATTATGGGTATTTTATGTGTTAATTCTTTGTGTTAATTGTGTAGACAATGAGTACAAAAATCAATGGCTCAGAGATGTGAGGAGTGAGAAATTGGATGTCGATGTGGACAGTGTTATCGTAAAGGAATCGAGATTAAATGATTGATATGTTTTTATTATAATAGATACTTGACTTTATTTGTAGCTATCGATAAATGTAATGTTAATTTATTATTTGTTTGAATTGTATTTATCCTATGGGTATTTAATATTTTAAGTTTAATAAATGTGAATATTTTAATGTCATGTAATGCATAATTACAGTTCAGTTTGTTAGTAATTGTACCTATCAGGAATGATTTGTAAATTGTTTAAAACTAATTGTCAAGACTATTAGCAATGAAAGGAAAAATAGTTTTTAATAATACTGTACATGTTTTTAAAATAAAAATCCATTATTTACTATCAATTAATTAATTGAGTTAATTTGCATATTAATATACCGAATTAACCCAAAAAATTTATATTTTTGTTTCAATTTCCTTGTTCAAAACTTATAATTTTTGAATAATATTATTTACCTATTGTTTATCTAAAATAATTTAGAATTTTAAAATTGTACTATAAATAATGAACACCAACATTTATCCAGTTTACTGTCAAACTAATATATCTGTTACCTTGATCCTTCAAAATTGCAAATGTTATTTATATAAACTTTTTATAATAAAATAAAATAAAATAAAGTATAAATTAAACTATTTTATTAATAACCACAGATTCAGTTTATTATTCTGTTAATAGTACTAAAACATTAATTATCTTTCTGAATTATATCTATTTTATAATTTAATAACTAATTTTAATAGCCCTTGATTTATCATAATGAGCGCAAAAATTGATACTAATATTATATCTAGCACCGATTTAAATTCAAGCAACTTAATTAATAATAAAACTATCATGGATTATAATGGGTAAGTAAATTATCAAAATAATTTAATAATTTTTAAATGACTATTATTGATATATGAAAATTATTTGTAATGTTTAGCAAGTCCTTTAGCGAGGCAATACAAATTGCTAATCAATTGTTGGAAATGTTGCTGCAAACAAATTCATTGCCCCGGGATGTGGACCCGGATAATAGGAACCTATATTTGTGTTGTGTTAAGTCTATTAAAGCTTTAATCGTAGCTGTGGCCACTATGGAAAAGGTATGGGTGCTATTTACTCACCAATTTAAATTCCCTGCAATAAATAAAAATAATAATTATTATTTCACTTTATTTTTGACTTTTCATAAAAATGACATTTAATATCTAATATGAAATATCAAATTCAATTTAATACAGCACGACATCGAAAAGGCACACAAACAGGTGGATACGTTAGGGGCACTGGCAGATAATTATCGTAAAACGGGACTTATGGTGACGATTATAAGTTATGTCAAAACGCCTCTATATAACCGTTATAGCGATGGTATAAATAGTTTACAATTATTTATAACAAATGAAAGATATAGCTTTAAATTTGATAATTAAATATAATAACAATTTTAAACACATAGCCGAAGCGCACGGGGAGTTGTGTTACTCGTATAGTCTACTGTTCAGTGCTATGGTCTGTGCGTTGGAAACCAATAGTATTTTGGGTTTAATTA